CCTTGAGTCATGTTATGTGGATTTACCTTCCCCAGGGACTAGACTTGATGCAACCTGATCTTTGAAACTTGGAAGGTGTTTAATAGATGGAAAAAGGTTACAACGATGGTAAAAAAGGCAAGCAGTGGAGAAGTTGTATGGCTTTCACACAAGCTGTACCACCTACAGTAGAGCTCTGCAGTCATTATGCTCATCTTGCCATGGAGGGGATGGAGTGTTAATAGGCTTAGGGGTATGGCCATGTGGTTCTGCGCACACTGTGATTCTTCTGTACCTAAGCTGCTGCATAAAGGGTAGCAGAAGGCTGTGTCCATTGCTTCTGGCCAAAACTAAGAGTAGTACCTGAGGGCCAGCTGTGCCAGTACCAGTACACTTCATTGTAGATTGAGGAGGAATATGCATCTTTCATCACTTCCTTCATCCAGTTTCATTATGGTCTCCACATTTAATTAAGGCTTTACTTACTGGATCAGAATTTTTGCAGCTCCCTTGCAAAAAGAAAAGGAGTTTTACAGATTTATCCCATTTTAACACATTATGCAAATATATTAACACTGCATACATATTATGGTGGTGTGAATTTTTTATTTATGTTTGTAAATGCATCAAGGGAAACTAATTTAACATGTTTATAGAAAGAGCAAGATGTGTGTGAGTGTACACAGAGTAATTTTTAGAGCAGTTTCTCATGCTTTTTTCCTTTTTCCTTTCACAGATTTTTCTCTCTCTCAGAGCATGGACACCAGTAAAAAACCTGACCCCCCTATATCAGTAGAGATGGTCCAACAAAGGGCAAATCCTGATCGTAGCCCTGCAGCATCGATTTACGTTCCAGAACAAGGTGGTTACAAAGAGAAATTTGTAAATGTAGTGGAGGAGAAGTACAAATGTGAAAAGTGTCGCCTCATTTTGTGCAATCCCAAACAGACTGAATGTGGACACAGATACTGTGAAACCTGCATGAATGCCTTGTTAAGGTGCGTGCTGCTTCTTACACTAATATGCTTGAAACTTACTGAAATGGAAAGTAGTACGAATGAGTGCCTGTATTGCCATCTTGTGAGGCATGGAAAAGAATTTATATGATGAAGAGTGTAGTGTGAGGGAGTGAGGTAACAGTGAATGCTCTTGATTTTTATTTTTATTTGAACGTTATGAGAGATGCAACTGAGAGATGCTCCTGGTAATACCAACAACAATAGAAAGCCAAAAAAATTCCAGCTTTTTAAGAAATATCTGAGGAACAGTTTAAAGATACAATCAGATCTGGGAGGCAAGTAAGTATTTGGTATTACTTCTAACTTTATCTGATGCAAATAATATGAGTTATCCTACTCAGAGTACTGTATAAATTTTGATCCTGACCAAAGTGTTGTGAGAGAGAAAGTAAACAGTGATATCCATCTTTTATTGATGGGAATGCTTTACAGAAGGAAAAGGGCTTGCTGAGGGCAATCTGCTATAGCAGTAAGGGAGCTGAGATTTGATTTTTGGGAGTTCTGAACCTTCTGTTTGTTCCCAGTGATGATTCTGACTGTTTCATTTTGGGGATACAGCATTAGTTTAGACATTGTAAATCACATGCTACTGCATTTAATTGCATTTAAATGATCATTTCTCCCCCCCCCCCCCCCCCTTTTTTTTTACCTAAACATCCCCTCCCCCCCCCCCCCCCCGATTTTAGTGCATCAGATTTAAAATAAATAAGAAACAGGGTTTTTCATTGTCTGTATATTTTTTGATAAAGTGTAGCATGTGCTGTAAAATCTAGTATTTCTTTCCGAATGTGCATTCATCTGCTGTGGTTAATAACTGAGCACAGAAAGAATAGAAAGGCAAATATGCAGCATGCTTGAATGTGTACAGATGGAAGAAGCAAACCCTTAGCAATTGAAGCAGTAATGATTCTGGCATGGCAGAGATCTATCTGGGCAAATTTCCTTTCCCGCTGTGAAATGTGCACATATGTGCCTATTACAATGCAGTTATACTATATATGCAATTTTATCTTTCCAATCAAATTTGTAAAATCCTCTTTTTGGGATGGATAAACCAAACATTGGCCTTTTTTATACATTAATTTTCTATTTAGAAATATTCTGTTGTTCTATTATTTATTCTCAGCGTGTCTTTTCCTGAAGTGGTTGTTTAAGTGGTCATTGGAGACTTTATTAAAATTCAGGTTTACATCGTCTTTTGAAATATATGAATGAAACGTGTCATGAAATGGGTATTAAAATGTAATTTAAAATGTTGATAGGTATTTCCCATCCAGTGCCCATGTATTACTAAGTACACATTGATTATGTGCTAGCAGCTTCTGCACTGTCAGGTTCATCTGAGGACAAGGCACTGCAAGTCGTTGTAGATAACTCAGTGAAGATGTCTGCTCAGTATGCAGCAGCAGTTAAAAGAGCAAGTCGAATGCCTGAGAGCATTCGGTAAAAGCTAGAGAATGATGACATTGTATTAAACTGTATATGCCCTCCAGTAGAATACAGTATCCACAGTTGTTTGCCTCCTCTTAAGAAAAATATCAAAGAGGTTGGAAGTTGTGAGACAATGAAGATGTTCAGCAGTATGTTGAGATTTACATACGGTGAACAATTTCAAGGAGTAGCATTGGTCAGGGAGGGGATTTGATTGAAGTAAAAGGCTGTGAATGGCAGTGTGACAGTCGGGCCTTTCCACTGACCCACACTGTTAGTAATGAGTCATTTTACAAAAATAATTGATGGCTCTTATCCAATGCTCTTCCTCCATGCAGCTCGGAGCACTTTACAGTGGATGCTGGTGTCATTGGCCCCATCTTATAGACTAAGAAAGTGCAGCACAGAAGGATAAGAATTTGCTCATGGGCACCCAGGGGAAAGCACTGCCCTAGAACCAAGGACTTTTGTGTTCAGTTCTTTATCTACTGGGCTACTCTGCCTCCTCATTTACCTAAGAGATTACAAGTCAAAGAGTAGACAGATACAGCACAACAGTTCATCTATGGGAAGGAGTAGGGATTGATCCACCAGAAAAGTTTATATGGAAAAGTGAGAGGCAAAGGATAATGAGGTGAACTTAGATTTCTTTAAAATAAATATTTAATGCTGTTAATAATGTTGTAGAATTCACTGTCTTAGGAGATTTAGTGAAATTACATCTGCGTTAGAAAAAGTGTTGGATAATTTAATAGATGCCAGTAATAATTTTGCATGCTGAGAAGTAACCAGAATGCCATAGATCAGGCATCTGATGCAGAAATTAGGCATTTCTCCATATAAAGCATTGCGGAGTTGGCTAGAGACATTATGATATGGGTTTTTTCTCCACTTCCCTTTCCTCTGCAACACCAGATAAAGGGGATGAATGGTTTTAGCAAACATAGCTGTTCATATTTCTTCATGTCTTCTGGTAGATGAACAAAAGTTTCAGCTTATTTTATGAAGAAAAAAGAAGACCTAAATATTTTGCATTCAAAACCATCACAACTGAATATATATGAACACATAATATTAATGCATAATACTTTTTCTGAAAGATTAAAACCCATGGCAAAGGGAGAGTGTGTTCAGTTTCATGCAGCTGAAAGTTAATTGATTGTTAACAGGTAAAAATTAAACTTCCATGGTATGTTAAGTTTGAATTAAACTGTTTCCTCAATTTTGAAATTTTCTTGAAAAAATGGTTATTTTCTGAATGTTAGCCCATTTTGTTCCATTTCATTCTATACTAAGTTCACTGTAGTGAACTGTGTGTATATACTTAATCAAAACTATTTTTAATTATTTGAATCTTTTTTTTTTGAGCAGAGGGCCTTTCATTTTTTGCAAAGGACTCAGAATCCTGCTATAATCTGGAAATTCAAAACAGGATAAATATAATTCATTCATTTATTTATTTATTTTTACAGTTCTTCTACTCCAAAATGTGCAGCGTGTCAAGAAAACATAGCTAAAGACAAGGTATTGTTATTTAAAATTTGTCGTGTGGCATATTCAGTATTTTGGAATAATTTATTTTAATTGAACTCC